AAGAGAATTGAGTGTTTCCTGACTACTTTCCCTTTCATGCTAGACTGCTCTGTACCAGTCCCTTGTGTAGATGAAATGGTAGGAAGCTTCTGTACATAACTGGATTGGGAAAGAGGTGAGCTGAATACCCTCAAATGCTTGGCACTATTATTTCCGTTTGTGAGCTTGTCACGTAGCACAACACTAGCAAGGAGAGAAGCAGCAGGAAGCCCAAAGCAGCAGAGTCGTATTGGTTGCTGCAGAGTCCATGCAAGCAGTGGCGGGATTTGAACATTAAGATACTCGTTTCTCATTGCGCCCCCCCCGGGGGGGGACACAAATCATATTTTGAACTTTAGGATGCTTCAGAAGCAGTTTCTGGTGCATAACGGCTACGGGTTTTTAGATTGCAAATTGCCTTTAAATATTTAATCCTAAAAGAAATCAACCCTGACTGCTCCCTGGAAGGCCAGAGACTGAAGCTGAAGCTCAAATACTTTGGCCACCAAATGAGAAAGGAGCACTCACTGGAGAAGACCCTGATGCTGGGAAAGACGGAAGGTCAAAGAAGAAGGGGATGGCAAAGGATGAGATGGTTAGACAGTGTTATCGATGCAATCAACATGAAGCTGAGCACACTCTGGAGGACGGCAGAAGACGGGAGGGCCTGGCGTGATGTGGTCCATGGGGTCGTGAAGAGTCGGACTCGACAACAACACTTTTAAAAAATGCCTGTAGTGGTTTTGGAATTCCTCATGATCAAGACGAGTTTCCAACTTGTTTTTTTTCTGTCATTCTGTCCATAACATTTCTAAGTTTGAAACAGGAGAACACCAGGTGTTTTGGCTTAGTATACAATCGTACATTTCAAAGCAAGAACTTGAAGACGTGTCAGTTGTACATGTGCTTGCTGGCCCACCTATTCCTTTCATTAATGGCCTCTTAGTATGCTAAAAAGTGGGGGAGAGAAGCAAACTTGTCCATTTCAGAGGCATCACTGTGCTGACTGGAGCAGATTGATACTTTCCCTGAGCAAGAGCTTTGTGTTAAGCAAGCAGTATAGTATGTTTATGCACCTTTCATAGAATAAGCCTCATGGACGGGAATTTTGTGTCAATAACCCCTTCTAAAGTATCCTCCCCCCCACTATAGTATCGGATCAGAAACGCTTCCAGAACTTGGGCGAGCAAGACGTATTTCACTGGAGGTGTAAGCTCTGTGACTCGGGAAGATGTTCACCCAAATCATCTCTCCTGTGTTCTGTTTGGTTAGTCAAAAGGGAGAACTTTCATTACAGTATAAAATAAAGGTGATGGATTAAATAATACCTGGCTTTTCCTTGGGCTGGGCCTTCAAAGGAAATGGAGAAGTGGGTACCCATTCTTCAAAACACACAGGCCTCATGCGGCTTGAATTTCAGATTAAGGCCCTGTTTGGAGGGCTATGCAAAGCATTCCCTCACTTTGATGGCAGATCAAAAACTGACCTCCAGCGTATTGTGGGAGGAAGGGAAGAAAAAATGGTGTGCTTTTTTCCTTTGCCTCAGAGGGTATACATGGAACAGTGGCATTCACACAGCTAGTATTTTAGATTTCTGTCAAGCAAATATGAAATAATGATTGGTCTATTTCTGAATATACACAACTCCCATTTTCGCTGGGCTTCTGCTCCTGGGAAGAAAAATGCTATGCAAGAAAAGCTGAATTCTGGAGCTCTGGATCAGTTTAGTCACATCTGCTCCTTTTGTGTAAACATTCTGCTTCAGCTAGCCAGCTGGAAGGACAATCGGGGCTGTGAAACACTACCCTGGGGCAAGAAGAAATCTTATCCAGCTGCCCCTGAAATTGCCAGGACACCCTTGCATCTGTCCTCCACAATCCTGTACTAGTGGGAGCTATTGAAAACCCAGCCCCACCTTTTAATCTCCACCCATTTGGCCCAAAGTGTCTCATGCTACCAAAATGTAACAGCAGTGTGGGGAGGGGGAATGTGTCTGTATTGCACTGTTAACTTCACGTGCTAGGGCTTAGAGTCATCGACTCATAGAGCTGGAAAGGACATCCAGGGTCATCTAGTCCAACCCCCTGCACAATGCAGGAAATTCACAAATACCTCCCCCTTCACACCTCCAGTGACCCCTGTTCCATGCCCAGAAGATGTCAAAAAACCTCCAGGATCTCCAACTAACCTGGCCTGGGAAAAAATCGCTTCCTGACCCACAAGAACTAAGCACTGATGCAACCCTTCCTGCCCTCCCTCTCATGATCTGCCTAAGTTCTCAGAATCAGCATTGCTGTCAGAGGGCCATCTAGCCTCTGCTTAAAAACCTCCAAAGGAGAGCCCACCACCTCCTGAGGAAGCCTGTTCCACTGAGGTACCACTCTGTCAGGAAGTTCTTCCTAAAGTTTAGCCGAAAACTATTCTGATTTAATTTCAACCCAATGGTTTTGGTCTGACCTTCTGGGGCGGCAGAAAACAAGTCTGCACCATCCTCTATAGGACAGCCCTTCAAGTACTTGAAGATGGTTACCATATCACCTCTTAGTCTCCTCTCCAGGCTAAACATACCCAGCTCCTTCAGTCTTTCCTCATGGGACTTGGTCTCCAGACCACTCACCATCTTCGTTGCCCGCCTCTGGTCATGTTCTATATCCTTACATTCTGGTGCCCAAAACTGAACACAATACTCTAGGTGAGGTCTAACCAGAGCAGAGCAAAGTGATACCATCACTTCCCGTGAAAGGCTTCTGTCCACCACCACCCTTTTTTAAAGCCTTCCAGCTAAGCCACCCCAAAATTCAGCGAGGAAAGAAAGTGGCAGCTACCACTTCCAAGGCTGTGCAAAGAGCTTCTGCCAGAGGGGAGGAAAAAGAAGAAAACGGATTGCATTTAACTAATGGGCTCCTTGGATAGCAGCCCATGCTGTGATTTATTGTAATAGTTGATTCAAGGTTGAAGGGGAAACCATGCTGTTTTGTTTCAGCTTCCTGGCAACTCACCTCAGTCTCAGATGATCAAGGTGTCCGATGGGTTATCTGGTGTAAAGGGAGGCTGCGGTTTTGTGAAGCAATTTGATGGAGCAGTCGTTGAAAGCAGTATTGCATCTACTACACTACACAGCTGTAGGATGCAGTACTTCAGCCTGTTATTTTGGCATTCACTTGCTCTGTTAGCTCCAAATACTATCTCTCTACCCGCTATTCAGAATTACATTAAGATACATCCTTTATTTAAAACACCCATAAAGGTGTCCGATGGGTTATCTCGTGTAAAGGGAGGCTGTGGTTTTGTGAAGCAATTTGATGGAGCAGTCGTTGAAAGCAGTATTGCATCTACTACACTACACAGCTGTAGGATGCGGTACTTCAGCCTGTTATTTTGGCATCATCGTCATTCACTTGCTGTGTTAGCTCCAAATACTATCTTTCTACCCACTATTCAGATACATCCTTTATTTAAAACACCCATA